GGGGGAGGGGGAGGGGGCTGAGCAGCCGCCGGAACCGCGCTGCTTCACACGCAGGCCCTGCTGGGCACGCACACATGTACTCGCATGTGCCCTGCCACACAGGCTCACACTCAAGGCTGGTGGAAACCCACCGGAAACACAGACCTGCTTCTCCCAGCTACAGACTGCCCAGCCCTGCTTGCTTAAGAAACAAGCAAAGCAGAAAGCCAGCCCATCCTGTGCCGCTGCCGCCTCGTCTCCATCTCTGTCCTCAGCCGATGGCTCATCTAACAGGCCGAGGAAGCGGCTCTGTGTTCCGCGGCACCCCCATGCGAGACCTCTCCTCAACGCATGGCCAGCTCCAGGGCCTTCCAGCACCAACACACCTTTGTTCTGGAACCTGCTCTGAGTCTGCACCCCGGCGCTCCCCACGCCGTGCGGTGCCAGAGCTGCCCCCTCGGCTCGGCCCTCGGCCGCATTTCTGGCTTCTCTCCAAGATCACTCTGCTGCCTCCCCAGCCTCATGGGCCAACTCAGCAGCCAGCTGCTCCCCTCCCGCCCCACGCACGAGAACCCCACCCCACGCTTGATGTACCCCTACAAGCAATCCCCTCTGTACCAAGGACACGGTTTTAAAACAGGACGTGGCTTTTATAGCTTCTTTCTCCCCTAACAGTTAATTCCTGTGGCCTTCGAGATACAGTTTAGTGTCTCAACCTGGCCGCCCGGATGGCCGGGGAGGAGGGGTGGGGGGGAGCCGGCCCCCTCCACACTACCTGGGGCACACGGGGCGGCCCGCTTCCCGCTCACAGGACAGGCCGAGGTACTCACGCTGTCCACAGCGAGGATCTTGGCCCAGATGAAGACGAGGAGTGGTCGCAGCTCTCGGGCTGAGCTCTGGAGCAGCTTCAGCACGTAGGGGAAGATGCCCACCGACAGGGCCTGGCGGAAAAGGGGAGGGTCAGAGGTGCAGCTTTCCTCATAGACTGAGCATTCTTCCCAGCTTTAGACGTCCTCTCTCCTCCTTCCTTGTTGGCTTATCAACGAAGGTTGGTATTAATCAAGGTTCCAAGCCAAACACAGAGAGGCAGAGAGCCTCGCCTGCCAGCCTCCTGCCCTGGAGCCCCCCCCCCCCCCGCCAGCGCCGTGGCGCCCCCTCCCACCTCCCGGCCCCCACGGCACTTGGCGGCAGACCTGCTGTCAGGTGTTTATTCTTCATCACTTAAAGTGAAGTAAAATAGCTAGCTCATGCAAAATCTTGAATCGTCTCATCTCATAACTATGATTTTCAAACTTTGACTTTTTTGTGTGTGTGTGGTTTGTTTTTTTGCCAGTCCTGGGGCTTGAACTCGGGACCTGGGCACTGTCCCTTAGTTTCTTTATGCTCAAGGCTAGTGCTCTATCACTTGAGCCACAGTGCTACTTTTGGCCTTTTCTGAATAGTTTATTGGAGCTAAGTTTCATGGACTTTCCTGCCTGGGCTGGCTTTGAACCGCGATCCTCAGATCTCAGCCTCCTGAGTAGCTAGGATGGTGGGCGTGAGCCACCCGTGCTCGACTCCAAACTTTAACTTTTAAACTCCCCCCTCCCCCCGCCCTCCGAACAGGACCACAGGAGGTCAAGTGCAGCCGGCCTCCTCTCGTGTTACACTCCTCTCTGCCACCTGCACCTCCTTCCTTACGCGTCTGTTGTTTTCTGCCATCTTTCTGTGTTTACTACTCTTGAGTGAGTGGCCGGGTGCCTCAGCACTGCGCATGCCCCACAGCGCGGCCAGCCGGTGGCTCTGGCTTCTTGGCAGTGGAGGGAGGGGCTATTCTGACATGCCACAAATACTTCTAAAAACTAAACAAAAAACTAGGTAGAAAAATGTTTTGTTTTTTAAAAAAAGCCCAAGACACCAGGCTCAGGCCCAGCCACGGCCGGGGCTGAAGGGCCGGGGCGGTCACCCCACACTGTTACACCGTGGCTCACGTCCCCTCAACCCCCTGGTGAGGGGAAAGCACGTACCAGGCTTACCGCCCAGGGACCCAAGTCCAGAAACCTTCCCAGCAAGTCCAAGGCTCTCAGGCGGTGCACCTGGCTTAGCAGCACCTGGGAAAGACAAGAACCAACCGGTGTCAGAGGAGACCACACGGGCATGTGCTGAGACGCTCCCCACAGCGCCCGCTGCGGGCCTGCGCTCCCAGCTCCCTCCCTCGTCCCTAGCTAATGCTTCCAGACAGGGCAGGAGACATGCGTTGCCCCCATCATGCAGGAAGACACAGATGCTCACTGCAGACAGCACTAAAACAAGCCATCTCTTCCTAGTGAGGGAGACAACGCACAGGGGCTGCCTTCCTGGATGAACTTCTAGGTGCATCCCTGACTGATGACCCATCACCGCCGCCCTCACTGAGGATGGCCTTCAAGGTCACACTGAATCTGGCCACATCACGTCCCACGCCAGCACTGCTTCATTTGCATAAATGGAATTTATGTAAGTCCTTTCCCCCTGCTGGATATCTGTACTATCATAAACATTTGTTACTGTAAACAATGTTGTTCATATAAACAATGCACATAAAGCTGAGAAATAAAATTTCAAGGTCAGAGCATCTAAACCTACTTTACCAACTGCCCTCGGCCGAGCCGATTCACACCTTTAACAAGTGCATAGTGAGCAGCGCTGGCTGAAAGGTGACTTTGGATAACTTCTTCAATATTGGTGAGACCTCATTTATTTATCTGTTTGTTTGTTTGTTGTTTGTTTTTGGGGTCTGGTTGTGAGGCCTGAACTCTGGGCCTGGGCGCTATCCCTCAGCTCTTCAGCTCAAGGCTAGCGCTCTACCACTTGAGCCACAGCGCCACTTCCGGCTTTTTTCTTTTTGCTTATGTGGGGCTGAGGAATTGAACCCAGGGCCTCATGCATGCAAGGCAGGTGCTCCACCACTGAGCCACCTTCCCAGCGCCGAGACCTAATTTATTAATTCATAAAGTAAGCATAATGCAACACTTACCCATGGAGTTTAATGAACTTAGTAACAAAAGCTCCTGAGAAAATACTAGCCATATTACACTATTTATAGTCAACATAGTGAAAATACACCTTTTTGGTCCAAAGTTTCTCATTACTAGTGAAGTTCAGTATTTTCTTTCACAATCAACCAACTATTTTTCTCTCTCTTTTTTTTGGTCCATCATAGAGCTTGAACTCTGGGCCTGGGCGCTGTCCCTCAGCTCTTCAGCTCAAGGCTAGTGCTCTACCACTTGACCTACAGCACTACTTCTAGTTTTCTGAGTGGTTTATTGGAGATAAGAGTCTCAGGGTGTTTCCTGCCCAAGCTGTCTTTGAACTGCGATCCTTACATCATAGCCTCCTGAGTAGCTAGGATTACAGACGTGAGCACTGGCGCCCGGCTAATCAACTATTTCTCTAGTAAAATCCTTTTTTTTTTTCTACACAAATGCTTCTTCTTGTTTATAAATGAACAGCAATCATTAATAAAGAGCACTCTTGACCCTGTATTTCATATGTTCTTACCTTTTCCTATGACACTGAAGCTATGTATTTTTATTTTTATTTTCCAGGGCAGAGGACCGAACCCAGGGCCTTGCACGCTCTGGGTGGGTGCCCTTCCACAGGGCTAAACCCCCAGCCCCTGAAGCTATGTATTTTTAATGGGGTCATCATGTTGACTCTTCCTTCATAGCGTCTACACGAGAGGATCTGTACTCAGCCCAGACCTACAGCATTTCATCCTGCCAGCCAAGGGCTTAGCCCTCTGCCGTTAGACCACACATTTATTGGAAATACAACAGCACACTGAGAGCAAACAAGGTCCTCCTAATGAAGCACTTGCACTGATCTGCAACATCTGTATAAAAGCAGTATAATTTTACTCTGTGAAATCATTCTTCCCTCTCTTTTGTACACTATCAGTCACCTTCATTCTTCTGCTTTGTGTCTTTGCCCACGTGGTACCTGAGGGGAATGCAGATAGTCACAGCGAGTCCTGGCGGGGCCCACAAAACCAGCAAGCCCAGTGCGCCAGGATGTGGCCAGGCAGTGAGATGGAGCTGGTGTGTGTTCACGAGCCTACAAGGTAAGCCGACAGAGACCGGAGACCCCAGCAACCCCAGCTGGGAGAAGATGGCAGTTACAAAATCATGAAAGCCAGGCATAGTGGTTCAAGCCTGTGATCCTGGCTGCTTGGGAGGCAGAGATGGGATCATGGGGAAAAGAGGCTTGGGAAACTCCATCTCATCAGTGGCTGGTGTGAGGTGATGGCAGGCGCCAGCTGCCTCACCGTGGGGACAAGGGCTGGGCACAGTGACACGGGCCTGCCATCTCTAGTGACACAGGAAAACACAATCAGGAGGACCGCAGCGCATGTTGGTCTAATCTTGAAATAACCAGTGTAAAAAGGGGCTGGAGGTGTGGCAGCACACACGGAACAATCACTACACCTTCCTTCTCACCCCCGTAGCGGTAGCAGAGGACACAGTGGCTTGCTGGAAAAGGTGCATTTCCATGCTGATACTTCTTGCCTGAGAGGCTGCGATCCAGTGGCCTGACAGAACCTCATCTTGATCCGCCAAGGCACCGGAGGATAACTTACAGGTAATGGAGCCCAGGCTTTGTCAGGGGAACTGGCCGGGGGAGGGGAGGCTGGGCAGCACAGGCCATGCCCAGTGAAGCCGGCACTCTTGTATTTTGTCTTCCCTCAACACTTCCAGGCCTGGTCTGGGAAAGAGCCCACAATGGCCGCAAGGCGCCGGTGGCACGCACCTGTAATCCCAGCTACTCAGGAAGCTGAGACCTGAGGATCGTGACTCCAAGCCAGCCCAGGCAGAAAAATCCGTGAGACTCTTATCTCTAATAAACCACTCAAAAAAAGCCAGAAGTAGCACTGTGGCTCAAGTGGTAGAGTGCTAACTCTAGTACACAAAGAGACTCAGGGACAGCACCCAGGCCTAGAGTTCAAATCCTAGGACCAGCCAAAAAAAAAAAAAAAAAGCAAGCAAGCAAGCCCTGGTGGTGGTGAAAACCCCCGTACCTGATTATCTGAGAGATGAGACACACAGGCTAGGAGGGCCGAGGAAGCCCGCCCGCCCGCGGGGTGAGGACTGTGAGGGGAGCAGTGTTCACAGTGAGGTCAATAAAAGGCCACGCACAGAAGGACAGTCTGATGGAGTCAAAAGAGCTGGACTGGCATGCTTGGCACCGGGCCTGTTTGGAGAGGGCAAACCTCACTCCTCAGCACTGCAGACCTAGGGGAAGGCCGTGGGAGAGCAGTCTCTGCAGACAGACAGACACTCAGGCGACCCAGGGACCGAGAGGGGCGATGGGAGCGGCGCACAGACCCCACCCACAGCCTGCCCGGCCTCTCTGAACAGCCAGCTTTCTTTGCCTCATTGCTGCTAGTGTTGCAGTCTTTTGTCTTGAAACTCTGCTTGTTTGCTGACAGCTCCCCTTGCAGTCCCAAGTTGGTCTTTAATCTAGACGTATGTAAGAGGAACAGCGATCATTTTTATGCTCTTCTCATGATGCCAGAAAAGCAGTGGATATAAAAGGCACCAACTGGGCTGGGAAGGTGGCTCAGTGGTAGAGC